TGAGCCAAAGTCAGGTGCTTAACAGACTGAGCCACCCAGGTGCCGCTAATTTCTTAACCATAAGCCATCCTCTTGATGCATAAATCCAATAATGTTGTGTATGCTGGTATTCTCCTTGATGTTCTCCTGTGATGGTACTTTTTTATTGCTCACAAGTTGCAATTATAAAGGTTACAAAATAGCAATTGTGCTAGTTTTAATTCTTATACAATTTCTATGTCAGCTAAGTGATATACACCTGCATGGCCAAACAATCCTATAAAACTGATTGGTTAGTTTCATCTGTGTTAAAATAGCCTCTATATTTAATTGGTATTTTCATGGTTACCCTTAGAGGTATTATTATAGCTCGTTTTATAGAAGGAGATGGCGCCTTTAAAGAAGTTCTGTAACTTACCAGTGGTCATACTCTGTTATTATTTTTAAGTCTGCTCTTTCTCCTATACAAAAATGACTGTCCATAAGTTTAAGAAACACATTCAATGAATATTTTCTGAAACTAGCTCCTAATAAATGAATTCATAAAATATTTTTTAAAATACTATAATAAGAGTGGCATCTGGGTGGCTCAGTCTGTTAAATGTCTGACTTCAGCTCAAGTCATGATCTCATGGTTCATGAGTTTAAGACCTGCACCTGTCTCTCTGCTGTCAGTGTGGAGCCTGCTTTGAATCCTGTCTTCCTGTCTCTCTGTCCTTCCCTCCATCACTTTCTCTCTCTCAAAATAATAAACATTTTTCAAAAATTGAAAAAAACCTACTATAACAAGAATGAGTAACATTTAGAAACAGATGGGTAACTAATAACTAGTAAGTATAATTAGCTGTATATATAACATATGCTACATTAAAATAAAGTCTAAATATTATAGTTAGTCATTGCATTGCATTTATATTTTTGCTTCATGTTGTCAACTAAGGACTCATTAGCACATTAGAAAAATTAGAAGAGAAGTAACATATCAAATGCTAAGCTGCTGTCAGCAGCTAGTGGTTGAGTTTCCACATTAGCCAGAAGAATATGGAACTGACAATATTAACATCATTCACCACTATTAGAGTATGTCCTGTGTTTTGAAAGATTGAGAAATCTAACAAAAGCTAAATATAGATAATTTGGGACAATGGTAATGCATCTTTTCGATGGTGATTTAAAGAGCAGTGTGAGTGGCTAGCACGAAGGAAACAGTCAATTAATCGGAGCGAGAGGGGAAAAGAGGAGAAGCTGTAGCAAGAGATAGAGAGAAGGCAGTTCCATGGATGCATCTGTGTTTAGGGAAAAGGCAATGATGGAAATGCAGAATTGAAAATGATGAATGAAGTTAAATAAAAGGAGTGGGTGAAGTTACGATGGTATTTGTCTAAATTGATGGTAGACAAATCAAAGGCAAGACCATGTGAAACATCAATGCTTTAGAGAAACACAGTCGGAAAAGATCCAGCAGGAAGGGGCTATATCCACAGTTCCTTCTATAAGCAACCTATAGTCTAAGTGGAGGCAGTAAGTCCAAAGATAAATGTAAGACAGAAATGGGGTATCCTCAGAGCAATTCAGACAAAACTCTAAGGAGAAAAGTTAAGAGACAAGCATGAGCAGATATATAAGGCAAGAAAGAAGTCATCTTGTTAAAAGGAGAGGGTCTGGTACGCATATAGAGCAGTGTTATGGGAGACGTATAGTAGGATGTCCGAGAGGGTGATTCCTTGGAAGATTTTGACTGTCAGGCTGACCTCCCCCCATGAATTTCATAGGTACAGGTATGTAACAGAATTATGCTAATTTTAATCCATCGTTGAAAAATTATATATGAGTTTGCATTTCCATACCATTAGTAATTTTTTACTTTGGCATTTGTTATTTATCCTTTCCTCACACTGGAATAATATATTTATAATTTATTCTACCCCAAACATTGTTATTGTGAATTTCACCGTAGAGTAACTGAAATAATTTAAATTTTGAATATACACAAATATTAAGAAAAATTAAAATAAAGGTAGTGAACCTTTCTGACGAGTTTAAAGCCACATAGTCAATATATTTTGGAATACTGAAAATTTGCATGAGCAAAGCAAAAAATAATTCATTTATTCATTTTATTGATACATAGTAACATGAGGAAAACAGGAATTGATTTAAATAATAGTTTTCTTCGGGGATTTGTATTCATATCCAAAGAGGGAATAGATAATGGTAAAATACAATCAGAATTTAATTGAAATTTTGCCACTAAAATCTCAAAGTGATTTTATTCTTTTGGCCATGGGGGATATCCCAAAGGAAACAGATAATGTGTGTTTTTGCTCTTTTGTTTCCCCTAAATATTCTCCCCTTTGCTTCTTAATGGCATTAATGTAATTAGAGGTGGTTAATGTGATAAACCTGGATTTACCTTTGCTTCAATCTGCTTAGTATCTGGATTCTGAAACAAAAATTTGATTTTGCTCTTGCCATCATCTGAAGAACCTTTAAGCTGAGAAAACTTATACCTCCAAAGTACAGCCTACAGGGAACAAAAAAAGAAACATATGCAAGTCAACATGATTAATATCTACATTCGAGCCAAGAAATAGTTCCCTTTTAAGTAGTAAAAGTTAATCATATTAAGTTAGTACGATATCCCACTATTAAAAAGTCAATTAAAATATATTGTATATATTATATTTACATTTATAGTTATACATATTACACATTTATATTTACATCCATATAATAATGAATATATATATACCAAAGGCTATAATTTATTATGCAATATATCCTTTAATTTTCAGAAATAAATTTAATAGCCATGAAATAATTATTTCAAAAAATATATGCAAATAAATCAATTTGAATATCCTGCTTTATATTATCATGAAATATCATCCAGTTCACTTAAAGCGTAAGTCTATGCTAGTGAATAAGCAAACCATTAGTTTTTTTTTTCTATTAATAGAAGTGATAAGGTGATTTTGAATTAACAATTCTGTAGATATTCTGTAGTATTTTCTCTTAAAGCTCAAATCATCTGTAGCTTTGTCAAGATAAAAGATCAGCCTGAGTGAATAATTATGACAAAAATTTACATAGCATCCTCATGAGAATGAACTAGAATAAGCATTTTACAAAACTAGCCCATGTGTCTATCTCAGTCAATATGATTATTTGACTAAAAGCCTTCTTCCAATATTGCAGAAGCAAGTTTAGGCAGAATGAAATATACGTAAGAACCAATAACATTAGTTACAACATAACCGTGCACTTCCTGTTTGAATAGACAGTGACATGGGACCCAATGACATGTCCAACGATTTTTTTGTAAGTGATGTTCATGTATTTTTTTATTTTAGAAAAAAAACTTAGAAGCTTGTACAGAAAATTCTTATCACACAATTTGCTGTATTATTAATATCGCACATCGTATGGTACACTGTCACAGTTAATGAGCCGATATTGGCACATTATCCCTAACTAGAGTCCACCATTTATTCAGTTTTTCTTAGTTTTAACCGAATGCCTTTTTCTTGTACAAGATTCCACCCAAGAATTTATTCATTGTGCCTTAGGCTCCACTTGTCTGTGACAGTTTCTCAGATCCTTGTCAGACTGCCCTTGGTAATTTGAGGAGTACTGGCCAGATACTTTGTGGAATGCCCCCTACCGGACTTTGATGTATTTCTCATAACTAGATGGGTCACAGATTTTACAGAAATGAAATAAGACTCTGTCATTTTTGTCAATAATCCCAGCATATATTTCTGAAAGGTTTCCATTTAAAATGTTATTACAATGGAGTGAAGTATTAAACTTCATTAGGTGACCTTAACATGATCAATAATTCATTTAAACATAAAGATATGTGAACAAAAAGCATGGCTTTATATATGAATTCCATTTCTTAATATTCTTACCTATTAAAGTTTTAATAATACTTTGCATGTTTCCAACCTTTATAATTTATTACCTCTTGTTTTGTATTCTTATATAGGATCTTTTCTGGAGAATGTTCCATGTACACTTGAAAAAAAATGCATATTCTGTTCTGGTTGGGTGATGTATTCTGTGTATGTCTGTTAGATATGGTTAGTTATAGTCTTGCTCAGGTTCCGTATTTCTAGATTTGTCGTCTGTTCATTCCATTACTGAAAGTGGAGTATCAGAAATTTCTACCTATTTTTATAGAATTGTCTATTTCTCCTTGTATGTTGAAAATTTAGCAAAGCTACTCCATAGTGTGGCTGCCTCAGTATCCATTTAGCGTGGTCAAGCGGCCTGCAGGACCTTAAACTGACATTAGCCCCCCCGTGCGCGTGTATGCCCTAGAGAGCAGCCACAGAGGCAGAAACGTCAAAATCCTGATATGACCCCCCAACGGCCCTGCGAGCAATATAATCCCTTGTCTCCTAGGGTCTATATTGCCTTGTGCACCACTTAGATAAGACCCCTGTCCGGCTTATCAAAACCTTGCTCTTTGGGTATGAATTGACCAACCCAGCCTTAGCCCAGGAACCCTCAGACACTCCACCCATGGGCCCTAAAAAAAGGCATGCACCCCAGGTCCTGTCTCGCTGTCTGTACTCTGACCACTACGTGTGGTTCCTCAAGGCATGTCATGTCTTTCCTCCAGGACTTGTGAGTAAAAAACTCCTGTATTTCAATTTCTCTAAGAGTCTGTTGTCAACGTTGTGGCTCACCATCTGGAACCCGTGCTCCACTTAACAAATGTTAATTTAACAAAGTATAACACTCCAATTCTGTCAGCGTTTAATGTATTTGGGAACTCTGACGCTTGCTGCCTATTATAATTATTAAATCTTTTTGAATTAATCCTTTTATCAATATATAATACTCTTTTTGTCTCCTGTAACAGTGACATCAAATCTGTTCTTTTTTTTATTGGTTTATCCACAAGCTCTCTTCTGGTTCCATACTTTGTATGGAATATCTTTTTACATCACTTTTATTTTAATCCACTTGAGTCTTTAGATCTAAAGCTAGCCTCTTATAGACAGCATGTAGTTGGATTATTTTTTAAAAGTCTATTCTGTGGTGAGGAGGAAATAGCAGTTATTGCTTAACGATTATAGAGTTTCTGTCTGGGGTAAGGATAAGTTTTAGAAACAGGTAGCATGAATCAATTAATGCCATTGAATTGTACACTTAAAATTACTAAAATGGGAAATTTTCTATTATTTTAACACAATAAGAACAAAACTTTAAAAAATCATTCTGGAAACAATATATCTCCAAAATCCACTCACAGTAAATGCTAATTCAAATGTTTCCACTTTAATAAGTATAATGAAATAACAAAATCATAAATTGCTTAAAAATAAGTATGAGAAAATTATCAGTAATGACACTAATTAATTTCTACAGCATGTTTTGATTCTTTACCTATCACCAGACAATTATAGAATGGTTATTATATATTAAGTATTTGCTAGGTTTAGATAAAAAAGACATTTCACCATCCTGAAGACATTAATCTCTCTACAAATAAATGTCTTTCCTTTCATTCTTACTATGGGACTACACAATTTATAAAGAAACAATATCCAATATTATAAATTGTCATAAACGTTTCTTTACATCTATTATTACACAGAACTATCTAGCAATAAAATTATCTGGGACAATTAATTTTCTGGAAAAAAAAAAGTTAAACCTTTAACTCACAAGTTCCTCTAAATAAAATTCCTTCTGTTTTAAAGAGTGAAATAATTTAAACAATCCACATCATAAGAATACTACATAATGTAAGTGAATATTGAATAACTTTGAAAAGAGAGAGTTCTAGACTTGGGAGTAACAAGAAATTTTATACTCATTATGTACAAGTAATGTATATGCACGAAAACGAAAAGGAAAGCAAAAAGCTTAGTGGCATATAGCAGGATATATGGTATAGTATGACTGCAAACATAAAATAAGGAAAAAGATAATATTATAGAGAGGTCATTTGAGAGAATGAAAAACAATCATTATTTTTAATAAGTATGACGGCATTTTTGATCTAATTAGAAATAAAGAATATAATAGCATTAAAATGACTCAGTTTTTTCTGAACATCTAATAAAAATCACTGAAAATTATAATAACTAAAGCTAGCAAGGTTATATTGAAACAAATATTTGCATAAAATTTCTAGCAACAGAATTCTTTAAGACAATAATTTTATTATTTATTTTAAGCCTTAACAATATTAATATTATTTGATCCAGAAATCCCATTTCTAAAAATTAACTGTAAGGAAATATGATATACGAAAAACAAAGGAAAGTGTAAAACACATTATTAGTAAATATCAAAAATGGAAATTCTAAACATTTCACATTAAAATAATGCTCATTTTTCTATATTTGCATAGAAAAATGCAAAAAATAGAATGGTAAGGAATGGTAGGGACATGAAATATCCTTTATATTAATCATAGATGAGATAATCATATTAAAACAAAGGAGCTTATAAAAGCCTAGAGGGAAAATGTCTGCCAAACTATAGCATCTTATGTAGCTCAGGTCCAGGTGTTAACTCACTATTAGATCAGCAACTTTATTTTTAGCTTGTTTACCTGTAACACTAACAGCTTTCATATTCTCACATTATAATTTCAAATAACTTTGAAATCATATGTCATATGAAGTCATTGTGGTGTAAAATAGGAAGTTACTATTTCGACTAGATGGCCTTTCAAGAGGTCAAACAGACGTTAGAAGCTCATTATTTTAAACAGAGTAACAAAGTTATTCTGGGTAAAAAAAGGCATTTATAGACACATGAAGGAAGTTTGGAAACTTTTTAGAATATGGAGCATGAATCCTTGGCTGTGAGTAGGATGCTCCAAAGATGAATAAAGTAGTCAATGAGTCTAATAAGGAACAACTGAAAGGTTTGTCAATTAAGAGGTAATGATACTAAGTTAATATCATAACAACTTCTGTGACAGATGATAGCCTGATTTATCATGGTAATTACCCCCTAATGTATACAAATGTTGGATCACAATGCTGTGATCCTAAAACTTATATAATGTTGTATGTCCACCACACTTCAACAACAACAACAAAAGTAAATCGGTAGCAGAATAAAGCATGCACTTAAAACACTTAACATGGCACCTGCAAAATAGCATTCAATAAATGTTTGTAAATATTAAACAAACAGAAGCTAATGCAGTAACTTTGTTACTTTGGGAATTGGTAATCCTCATAGAAATTCATTAAGGCCAATTTGGAGGAATCTGAATCTGAAAATATTACCAATAAAAGTTTCATAGGCCCAAAAAGGGGCTTAATTCAAGAACTCTTTGGCAATCTTATTTCATTTTTAAGCTTCTGATAAGCATGATGCCCACTATGTTAAGAATATTAATGATGAGTAGACATCACTACTACATGTGTTTTATAACATGTTATTTATATCGCTATGGTGAGTACAGCAGTAGGTTCCTTGTAGCTGGCTCTATGGCAGACCAAGAGAGGATGGTGTTGGTGAGATGTGTTTGGAGAGCGGAATTGC